TAAGACCACTCGGGTTGTCAGTGTGGATATCCTCTGTTAATGATGTCAGTGGGTTGATTCCAATCACCGAGCGCAGCTATGTCAGGGCCTTCAATCCCGGGATGTTACTTCCGATTGGTACCCACCGCTTGTTCGATGTATGTGCGTTACCACTTCGAGTTCCCCCAAGCGGTCGTTTACTTTCTCGGGGATAGCACTCACTGATACGCATCGTCTACCGGTTGTTGACAAAGCGAGCAACATATCCTGCTCAACGGATTTTTCTTTCTTGCGTGGTCACAGTGACATCCTGCACGCCGTTTATTGGGAGATTTCGATTTTTATATGGTCGCGGAGAGACATGCCAAGCATCCGTCGTTCCATTCGCTGTATCCGTCATAGCCAGCGCTTGCTCTTCAGCTTTCATGAGTGACTACGTTCCGCATCCGTATATCAATGCCCTCAACATAGTGGTACTGAAGAGGTGGACATAGACAGATTCAACATTTTGAGGACATTGGTGATACTGTGGAATTTAGGCCAACCGGCAGCTCTTCGATGCGTAGCTTTTGGGTTACGCTTATTTACTTCCTGTCCAAAACAGGCGTTGCTGTCAACTTCTTCCAAGTCCACACCGTCTATACGCAATCTTGCCACAGACGTGCCATGACTTTTATTTTTGATGCGTTGATTTTCAGACCCATTTCCTTACTTCGTACGTTGTGCTCCTGCAGCATCTCGTTTATTTGGCAAGAAATTATGATTGCAAAAATTGATTTCAGGTGGAGATAGAATTTGAACGCAGCCCCGTTTCACGGGATACGAGGGGATTTGTACATACGATATTCACATGCACATCGATCAAACCTGCCGCTGAAATTGGCCTTGAACGTTCGTTCGTTCCGCAAACATAATGCCAGACAGAGAAAAAAATGCATTTTGTTTGACTTCAGTTAATTTTTGTGTTTCAGCTGAATTAGTTCCAATGATAGTGATCCAAAACAATGGTGAGATCCCGTTGGCGCTAATGATGAACCATGAACTGGTGGCACTGCCACGCCAGATTTTCCCGGTGGAGGAAGTCGCCTCGGCATTTATAACAAAGAAGTGCAGTGCCACTGCTGAGGCAAGCTTTCATCGCTTTTCTTTATTGGCCACTGTAGATTTTTTATGATTTTTTGTTAATTTTTGGCATTTTTTTAAATAAAAAATGATTTGGTCGGCC